ACCTCGATCCGAAATCTGAATCGCAAATCAAAATTAAGTACAGATTGATCCGTAACTTCGATCTGAAATCTGGATTGAGATTCGTTGACACTTATAAATCAATCCGTAACCTCGACCCGAAAATTGGATTGACGAGATCACGACGGCATCTGAGGTGGACCACATAACGAGACCTGCTTTATATTCCAAGAAGGCGACACGAGGCAGTAGATCCTGAGCTATTAATAGGCAAGATCATAGGTTTTGGTATTTGATTGGTTAACATTAAACAGAGTTCAATTTTCTTATAAGTACACGCGTCGACTTCTTTATTCCGGGCAGGATATTTGGCCTCCCGACGCCTGAGAATATCGATTACAAGTGCACCCTGGATTGTTTGGCCAGGTGAAGGAATTTCTAACACAACAACTCAACTGCGATCGGACGCAGAAACAACAAGTAAGGGCAAGCAAGTGCAGGACGAATCAAGTGGTCAGAAGGTTCGGTCAGAAGATTCAAGCTTCGCCATATTGGACTATTGGGATTAATTAAGGGAAGATCAACAAACAAGAACCCGGTCGATCGTGTGAAAATTTCCGCACATTCGCCAAAACCCCCTATCCTTTAGCCAATTAGGATCATCATCGACTCAAATCCACCGAGAAGAGTGCAACCCTCCCAACCGAAGAGTACACAAGGTAAAGAAAGCTTTATACACAGAATTGGGGTACCCACTCCGTTAGTTGGTAGTCCGGGATCCAGTGGAGAGTCGGAATCACATGAGCAATTTTGTGAAACCCACTCCACCACAGTGATCTTGTACGCCTGATAGAGCACCTCAAGGACCTATTTAGAAGCGTTTGGCTGCCATGTATCGATTTTCTATAGATCGATAATCCCAGCGGGACGGCTTACTGTAAAACACAGCCGTCAACGGCGACAGGCTTCGTGTCGTCGTATCGCCCCAACATGATCTCAGGTTACGGATCATGTTTGAATGTAACGATGCACCAACAAGTGGGCATCGCGGACGTAAAAAGACTTATCTCACGGTAAGTCGTGCCTTTTACTGGTCACGCCAGTATAAGTTCGTGCGCAAGTACGTGCGTGCTTACGAGGTGTGTCAACGAGTGAAGCCTAGTCCTTCACTCGGTGCACCATTGCAGCCTCTACCTGTTCCGGCAGAGTGCTGGGAGTCCGTATCAATGGACTTCGTCTTTGGATTTCCCAAAGACGCTCACGAGAATAATGGTATTCTCGTGGTTGTGGACAGGTTCAGCAAGATGTTACATCTTGTTGCTGTACCTGAATCGATCACAGCAGAGGGCTGTGCTCGAGTGTTTATCGATACAATCTTTCGATTGCACTGGTTAACCCGTGAACTTGTTTCTGATAGGGACCCCCGGTTCACGGCTGAGTTTTGGCGTTCCGTGTTCCAAACACTTGGAACACGGCTCACAATGTCTACTTCTGACCATCCAGAAACTGATGGTCAGACTGAACGCGCCAATCGCGTCCTCGAAGAGATACTTCGAGGGTACGTTCAAGAGTTAAGTTGAGTTTTTGTCGATGATCGAGTTCGCCATCAACAACTCAGTGCATGCGTCGATGACGCATATAGTCGTCACTCTCAAGAATCTCCATCTAACTTTTGTGATCACGAACCAGTTTTGCAAACTAGTCGTTTAAAATCGAGATCGTCCCTGTTTCTGGACGATCTCCTGACAATCTGTCGCCAGATCGTTAGTCAGAGAATGAAGACGCCGTTATACTTTAACAGTGCGACAGAATTGTTTGCCCGAGACTTTTCGTAGTCAGACCCAAGCTGTCGCACAGTTTTTTTAAACGGTAACACCTCTTCCGTTCGTGAATCATATCACGACGTAACTCACGAATTACGTAGTCAAACTCGTCTAAATCAGCAGACAAGTCCGATGAAAGAATTGGAAAGGGTTTTTTTTCCACCACCCAATCCGCTGGTGGACTTGAACGGTGGTAAGCGCTTCTTTGTGGAGCACTTGATAAATCGCCGTGACGTAAGAAGACGTCGGACGAGTTATCTCGTCCGGCTATCCACCTTATGCGGATAGCTGGCAGACTCAAGACCAACTGATGGCTGACGTTCCCGGCCTTGTCGAGCAGTACGACAAGGCACATCCGATAGTGAAGAAGGACCATCGGAAAATGAGCACCCAGCACGCTCGTAAAGTGATTGCAAAGTAGCAATCCCTTCGTGCATATCAAAAGAGATACAAGCTCTTTACCAAGGCTCACTAAGGAGGTAAGCCTCCTAATGAGCTCTTGATGAGGTGCTCACGGCCGCCGGGCAAGAATCTACCCAAAATAGGTATAGCAGTCCAGCATCTCTTGACAATCGATGCAATTGATAGCTTGCACCGGCGATACTTCACTTTTTAATATCTATTGCGATTAGCAGTAAGTTTTTAAATCCAATCATCACGCCCAACGTTATGAACGTTGAGAACAAATACGTTCCAAACTTGAAAGAAGCATCAGCTTCACGCTTGTGTTTTGGGCTGTGCCATCGATTCTGAAGGAATGCGTCGATATATAAATCGTTTTCAGTGCGAAAGTTATTCGCACTGGCGTTAAGTCCGTGAAACTTTGACGCATTGGATGACGGAATCGGAAAACCGTTCGTTGGTCATCTAATACCAACGATCTATCTGACGCGTGGATAGCATCCACGGTTTCGTATCAGGATCAGGACGCAATACATTGCGATCGAGAGACTTCTGCGTGGTTTCGACAAAAGCATCGACACCACGTACAGTGATGTCAGTAGAAGTACCGACATCACGAACAACACCCAGTCGAGCCATATTTTCACAGTCGAATCAGATTTACTCGGCTCGATTGGCGAGTCGTCTGATTCATCAGACGACCCGAACATTTCACGTTACAATAATTTACTCAATGTACCACGATCCGTCTTCGTAAGATTCGACGACGAGGTATTACCCCGGGGAGAGCCCGGGAGTGACACAGGTGGCTTTGAGTCGGATGCGTCATCCGACTCACCAGAGCAGTAAACGACTAGCTCTGGGTCAACATCTTCACGTGGCGAAGTGCCACGTGAACATGCAACATACGTTGCAGGTTAATGTTGACTTACAGCAGACACTTACGTGTAGGCTGTGAAGCCTTAGCAGTGGCTACACATAGTCGTGCGCCGAATTCTTGGCTGCCTTGGCAGTGACGCGCAGTGCCTTCGTCATGTTCGAAGGCTTGATGGAATTAAAGAAAAACAACAAATGCTCCCTTCCCATAGTCACTAAACAGTCACTAATGATACTCTTGGTTGAGGGTGGGGGGTGATGTAACGGGGTGAGTCCGTTATCATAATATTAACACTTCTATGAAGTGTCAATAAGAATATTACTATAACTTACGATATATCTCAACATTATATCTACTTGAAATATTGTTCTTGCATCCCCAAAAAGACAGAGATGTCCTCTAGTTGGTTGATATAGGCCATTATATCATTCAACGCGCTGAACAATGACGGATGAACGCGCGCATTGAATGGAGGGCACAGAGGTAACATACATACATGTACATTGAATATAGTTAAGACAAGATAAAAACAGCTTTACATTTATTAGATAGCTTAACGATATCATGTACTTCTCTTTTCCTTATAACTAAGCGTTTGTCTAGTAATTAGTTTCCTCTGTGCACGTGTGTACGTGAATTTCTGAGGCACCTGCTTTCACTGTCATCAGTGAAGGTAGGTTATAGTCCGAATGTGCCCCGTTACAAGAATTCCTCTCAAGTGCCTAAGAACGGTTAGAAATCATAGTCGTTTAATTAGTTTCGTAGATCTAAGTGACTTTTAGCCGAAACTTTATTTAAATCTTAAGAACTAGGAGGCTTTCAGGCTTTACAGTCTTCCTTAACTTAAGAGCTGAGTAGCTCCGCTACAATTAGCTTCATAAGCAAGATTTAATTATCTGCGCAGGAGTTCAAATTGAACCGGTGCGATTTTGTCTAGGATGATACGTTGGTGCAAGCCAATCCCGTCATGCTTACGGTGGACGCGGATGAAGACCGGCTGAAGCTAAGGCGGCCTTTTGACGGAGGAATAGCGTATGGGGAGTGCAAGGTAGATTTTTGCGGTTAAGTAGCATGTAGCAGATGGCAATGGAAGGTTTTGTATTCGGATAGGCTATGCCAGCTATGCCTCAGGGTCATGATAGACCCCCAAAAGCAACAGCCGACAGTAGCGAATCTCTAGGCTTTTTCCGGGTACCCTAAAAAGCACTTGCAGCTTAAGCTCGGTGTTGTATCACATAAGAAATCGATCATTTTTGTGTTGTCGAACGGTAAACACTGCACATTTATCTGAAGAGGGTATCAATCTAGGAGTCGTGTGTTAAAACCCGAAAGTAAGTACAATTACTGAAAATTAGGGCCTTTGATAGGAGTTTTAGGTTTATACACCATTGAGTATGTACCTTTATGTAGTAGTAATTGAAGTTGTTGTCACACCAATGAGGGGTCGCTGTATTCAAATGATTGCACGCTCTCCTCCTCCCAATGCATTTATCATAAACACGCCCAATGACTGCTATGTCCTCTTCTTGTTCCTCTTTTCTCTGCGCTGACGTCTTTTTGCGTGCGTACCCTCAAATCCAAGCACTTGGTCACGTCATCAGTCACCTCAAGGCTTTTCCGGACGTCTCCAAGGTTCTCTCTGTTGCCATTGCAGCACAAAATCAACCACTAACATCACAGTCTCTAACACTGTTAGAACATGCGGCAGTTCGTGAAAGGATAAAGTCTGTCATTGGTGGTCTGAATTAACACGACGTTATAAACAATATCAGTTTGAAACAGCGTTAAATCACGCGGCGGCACGAGGGTTTTTTACCGGTATACGATGGTTACGTTCGAAATATTATCCAAAAGGCAAATTTCATGGAGTCGAACGGGCAGCTTTATATAGTGGAAATCTTGAAATGGTACAATATCTTCATACTGAATCTAGTACTAAAATGGTCGATGATGCAGCAATGGATAGTCAAGATGCAGTAGCTCATGCAGCAGGCAATGGTCGTTTGGATTTGGTCCAATGGTATTGCAACATGAAAGGTCCGTATGCTTTCGGATGGAATGTCATGGATGACGCATTAGCACAGAATCAGATGAAAGTGGTGCAATTTCTAGACTGTGTATTGGGCAACCGATGTACTCGACGAGGGCTGGAAAAAGCGGCTTTACACGGACATTTGAAAGTCGTCCAATGGCTCAATAATTCACGATACTACGAGATCAAAACGTTCAGGACTCTGGAAAATGCGATTGCAGGAGGACTCTTGCACGTTGTGCAATATGTGATGGAAACGGTGGTGGTGGTGGCTTTTAGTCGTGGATGCAGGCAGCATTGACTGCTGCAGTTATGTATGGACAGTGTCAGATTTTACAATGGCTTCATGATCGGGCGTCAGTGAAAGCTGCTGTGCTGGCTTCCTGGACCCCATTACCATGTGAATGTCTCCTGAAGGCGAGAAACAGCTCGTCATGGAGTTGACTCTACAAGCCATGGTCGACGAAAACACGCGAGTGGTGAAGAATGCTGAGAAGGATCTGGAGTGTAGTCTCCTGGAAGAACCAAGGCTCGAAAGAGGGCGATCTCCAGCAAAGGCGAATCTTCTTCTGACATTTCATTCGAGGGCCTTGTGGTTTCTCCTTGTTGGATGGCTTCTCGGAGGAAGTATCTCTTGCGTCAGCGAATGTTATAGAAGTACAAAGCCCCTGCGTCGCTAGAACTATAGACGTTCTCAGTGCTCCATCGTCACGCGGACAGCATGCTGACGACTGCCACATTCGCTGTAATTATGAGACCTGTAAAACATAGTTTACAATAAACGTCGGTCGGCAGGAACCAGAGCCGTCTATGACATTTGTTCTGATGCTGACCTGGAAGCTCCATTTGGAAACGTACAAGCTGCTGGAATCAGCTTTGGTGACTTGCGGTGAAGGTGTATACCAGTTGTGTCGTGAACCTTGACTTCGTTGAACCTTACTTGGTGTCTGATGCAACCATATCCCGCCGCTCGAGGCTAACGCTGGTGAACTCAGTGCACTACCGCTGCCTGTAATGTTGGTGACAAACAATAGTGGCGTGAGACAAATTTGATGTACTTCGATGTCTGTGCATTTCGTCGTTGTCTGTTGATATATAAAATGCTCAATCGCGCGCAACAACATTGTATCGTCTACTGGTGGTGGTCTTCGGCTTCCTAAGCCAGATGATTGGCCATGTCGGATAGCTGACTGCTGGTGCTCAAACTCATGGTGAAGGCGAAGGCCCTATCGTTATAATTAGGACCGTCTTCGGCTGCGAAGATCACAGGCTCGCTCGATATGTTTGTGAGTGTTGTTTCGGATTACAGCAAAGGCGATACATCCGGTGGTGATGATTCCTAGTCGTCTGAAAATGCTGACGTCAAGTTTCCAAAGGACCTTTGCCGCGGCTTCACTAGTATATGCTTGAAACCTGGCGAGGGCGCTATCAAAAGTGGCGTGACTGGACTTGTGCAGGGCACATTGCAAGGCATTGCCGTGCTTAGATCTTGCATCAGGCGTCCGGTCTAGTTCGTGGATCGCTTTCCGTTTGGCGGCCGCTACCAAAAGCCGAAACTTGTTCAAAACGGCAAGCTGATCGCGGAAGCTCATTACAAATCAACCCTTTTGATACCGGGTGCTAATAGGCTGGGTCTGGACAAGTCGTGTGGCCCGATATGTGCTGTGCGAGTGGAGGATGTTGATGTGATGAAGACTGCGGTGTAATCTACAGCACGATAAACCCAGTGTGGCCACGCCCGCTACGAAGGAAGAGCTGGTATTAAAGGACTAGTCGAATAAGCCGATTGAATGCCTTACACTACAGGTGGATGTTACTAGCTCAGCCACATCGTCACACTCACTATCGTTCCAATCTATTTGCACCTACCACCAGATGCAGTCGAGACCGGCATATCCGTTTCTCATTCGAGTCCGAGTAAGGCACAAATGGTTTTTGAACACACTTCTACATCTTAGCAATTCTTTTAGTTGAAGAGCTCAGCTCATTTTAGCCTAAAGCTGCAAATCACACCTAAACGTATCAATGCAGAGGACTACGCGCCACAAAAGGTTCATTTGATTCAGCGCCGCTCGTTTTTCTTGCGCTAGTATCTTCTTTGCAGATATTTAGGTCACTTAATTACATTGTCGCTATTCCTCTATGAACCGGTTTTATAATGTCAATTCCACCATTATCTCCTACTGTATAAAGTTCTCCATGTATCAAACACATTATTACCTGTACTTATAACCCTCCCCTTCCAGCAACTGCACGAGTTTTTTCAGCAACCATCGATGTTGTGACTTTTGCAGAAGGTGACTTTCGAGCGCATTGAGACGAAACGTTGGATCAATTTCACTTTAACGTGTGTGTCGCAATGCTTGTCACGACTATGCGGACTGCTTGGCAGCTAAGGGTGGTCTCAAATAAGCCGTCTGTAAAAATGTCTTAATCACTCGCAAAGTTGTCAAACCCCGGGTAGATTCTGTTGTGCATCATGCTCTACAAGAGAAGCAAGGACAATGAGGCAAAAAGCAGGTAACCGACGTTCTTTTATGCAGCTGACTTCTTCGATGTTGTGCTTGCCGCTTTTACAATCAGCTCCATGCCAGCTACGAAAGTGTGGCAAGCAGGTCTTGCCGACGGTCTGTGAGGCCGACGGGTCGTTGCCGAGCGTCTGCGTTGCTCACTAAAGACGTGGTATGAATGGAAAAGAAGTTGCTGCCGTCAAGCATTCGCAACCTTGGCAAAAATTTGTCTGTACATCACCAAAATTCATCAAATCAGGCGCCGAACCGGCTTCAGTATTACCGACGGTGTTGTACTACTGAGTTGCACAGAAGGCATGTTACTGTAGAAAGAACCAAGTGCCTGCGTCGCGTAGTAATTCATAAATACAGTTAGGGTGGTGTTGGCAGAACCTAAAGCTTCTCCTTTGGAGCTACAGACGTGCCTACTCTATTGTTTGACACTGCAGAGGCCTTTGCGCTGAGTGTTTCTCATTTACCAGTAATAGATCTTTGAATGCGGTATTTGCTTCCTCCATGATGTCGGCATGAGTGTCTTCTCTAGTGGAAACAACGTCCATTTGAATGGTTGAAGGTATAAAGTCAAAACCGGACAGCATGGATGCGACAGCCTGCTGGAATGCCAGGCAGCCATTACAGCAGGATATCGCATCATTACCATGATTGGAGTGGTAGCATTCATCGGACTCGTGAAGGCAGGGAACTATTAACTTATTCCCTATAAACCAAGAGTTTAGCCAGCAATACGAGGTTAGCTTTATCCCGTTTCAATCTTGGCGTGCTGATGGCAATCCACCTTTTTGTGTGCAACATTTGTAGAATCGAAACAATTGTATTACAGCGCTTGCAGGTATCATACTTCTGATTAAAGGGTTCTACAACATCCGTAAAGACCGACTAGAAATCACTCAAGACACGACCTCTCTTAGATCTACTAGTGGTGCTGTTTCCTCCCCGCCTCATGGAAGTTGAGGTATATAATTTTAGATGGATTGTTAGTAAGGTTACTAACTTACGATGGCTATGTGTTCGTTGCAACGTCAGATTGAGAATGATGTAGGTGTTGGATCCGAGAAAACTCAGGTACTGAGTGTTGACCTTGTTCGCTTGCCATGATGCAAGCTGTAGAGAGGAAGTCGGCGGCACTGTGATAAAAGGATTCTGACATTGTTATTAGTGTTATCTTTTTCGTGCTAGCATGATGGACTAGTTGTTCTTGTTCTCCATCACTCTTGTCCAATCAATCACCCATCCACGCACCTGTCCAATCAATCGCTCAACTGATCCTCGAACGCCTTCCTAAGTCGTCAGCCGTTTCCTCAACTGTAACTTCAACCGTGCCTTTTTTTAACACTCCTCCTCGGCTACGACTTACCGTCCTAACCTAGGCTGATCATCTCACACAGCGCCGCGAGCTTGACTGCATCTAGCGCCTTCGTCAAAAGATCCGCTAGTTGTTGCTCCGAGCGGACGTACTGCGACACGATGATCCCGCGTCGAGCGAAGTCGCACACGAACTTCGTGCGAACATCGATGTGCTTGGCCTTTAGAGATGACGCCTCGCCTGCCAGCTGCTTCAGGCCGCCTGATTGTCGACGTGGAGTACCATCGGTAGCGCCGGCGGCTTACCGATCTCGGTTAGCATCTCCCTGATACCAAGAAGCTCGCGCGCCTGCTCCGATGCAGCGACGAACTCCGCTTCCATCGTCGAGAGCGAGACGCCGCCTTGCTTCTTCGACGTCTAGCTGACCGGCATGCCGTTCAGGCGGATGATGCCGCCAGTCAAGGACTTTCTGTCACTCATTTCCGCCGCAAAATCGGCGTCCGAGTACGCCTCGAGCTGGATCTTGCCGTCGAGGTGCTTCGCTGGTTCCATCCGAAGCTTGTAGTCCCGCGTCCCCTTCAGGTACCGCGCGATGCGTTTGGCAAGCTTCATATCGTGGAGTCGCGGCTGATGAGTCTGACGCGTCGCCTTGTGCACGGCGAACGCAATGTCCGGCCGTGTGCAACGCGCGATCCACAGAAGACTGCCGACGAGGGACTGGAACGTCTTGATTGTTGGCGCCTTCTGCACCTTAGTCTCGGTGAGCAGCGCGCTGTCATCTGGTAGCACGTCGTAGCAGTCAGCCCCAATTGGTGCTTTCGTCGGGTTTGCATCCTCGAGCCCATGCTCACGCAGGAGCTCGCCGATCGCCTCGGCCTGGTCAAGCACGTAGCCGCCACTGTTATCAATCGTGACACGCATGCCGAGGAACTTGCTAACGGTGCCGAGGTCCTTGATCGACAAGCTGCCGAGCTTGACGAAGAATCGGTCGACGGCTGCAGCGTCCGTGCCGGTAGCAAGTAGATCGTCGACGTAGACGCCCACGATGACCAACTGTCCACCCTCGACTTGGTAGTATAGACACATGTCGGAAATACATTGCCGGAAGCCGGCTTCGAGCAGTCGAGCGTGCAGGAGCTGGCTCCAGAGTCGGCCAGCCTGCTTGAGGCCGTACAGGCTCTATTGTAGCTGCAGCACTACTTCCTTCTTTGTCGCTGCGCCTACCATCTTGAGCGCGTCTTGATCGATTGTCATTGCCTGCGGCACCTGGAGTAGTATTTCCAAGTGCGCTTCCTTGTCAGCCTTGACATACGCGTTGGGGATGTCGCCATGCTTTGCTGGGACACCCCATATCGCCGCAAGCGCCAAGATCACCTTCACGGTCGACATGTCCATGACAGCCGCAAATGTAAGCTGGTAGTCGACCCCAAAAACTTGCTCGTTGCCGCAGGCGACCAGTCGAGCCTTCAAGCGCTCTATCTCACCGTGCGCGTCGGTCTTGGTCTTTAAAACCCACTTCGTGTGCAGAGTGTTGCTGCCTGGAGGTCGCTTGATCAAGCGCCACACGCCATTGTCTTCTAGGGCTTGGAGCTCTTCGCGCATGGCCTTTT